GGTGGCAGCTGTGTCTGCTTTATTAGTTTTTAATTCAACTGGAAAATAAATATTGATAGAGATATTGTATATAAGTAAACCACCACTGATGTTAAATAGAGATATATGGTAAAATTAAATTGGGCTGAAACTAGTGTAGTTTTATTGCTTTTCATTCTGCTTTTGAAAATCAATGTGAAGTCAGTTTTTACCATCATTTTTTCAGCAAATAGTGTTACTAAACTCTATGCAATAATTATGTTTCTAATTATCCTATTGATGAACAACAAGCGTATTAAGTTTTCATCCTTCAGAATATTATTTATGGGAGGCTTGTTCAGGACATGTGTAATATTTTCTGCATGATATTTTTAATGAAATAACCCTCTAGCTCCATCAATAAATATAAGGTAGAAACAGAATCACAGATCCCTAATACAACTCCAATAGCGTTTTATTCACCACTTCCAGCCCACTGCTTTTCACTTCCATAAGTAGCCATATTTGGGCATACAGGATGGTGGAAAGGGAATGGTAGTGGTCCTTCATCAAACAGATTACTAGGTCACACTCTTTTTGAGTTTTCCTCATTTGTAGATCATGTATTTTGCTATGATCCATGTTTAGCCCAAGATTTATCTTTTCATAAAGTGCAGTTAAAAAAAAAAAAAGGAAGATGTCTTTCTGTTGCTGTAACATGTACCATAGATTCGTTTTGACTTTTCACTTCTTCTGTTCTTCCCCCAAATCTCTTTTTAAGCATGGGAATCAATTTGTTCCAGATGAGGAATGGGAAGATAGAGGATTTGATAGAACTACTTAAAATAGTTATCCTATTACTCCTGAATGTTAAGTTCTAAGAATGATATATCACTATTTTATTTAAAAGCAAGGAATTCTTATCAGTAATATGGAGTATTCCTACATTAAGCAGCACAGGTCCTCTGGAAGGACTCTGGAACAATGATTTGGAATCTGAACCTGATGAACAGAGTTGTGCAACCCTTTGGATTCAAGGCAAAAAGTGCTTTGGGACTTACAGGGACAACTCCTTAAAGCACCTGTGCTTTTTCCTGGGATGTTGTGGCTGATCTTCATGGCTCTGAAGCACCTTTTTGCCTTCCTATCCAAGAAGCTGCACAGCCCTAATGATAAATCATATTGGATCTATTTGTGGCATAGGATTTCTTTAAAATCTATTTGAACACATTATCAAGAACTGGCCATGAAGATAATTCTATTTAAAGAGCTATTTAAAAATGTGGGAAATTGCTTTGACCAAAAGATTAAAAAAGCATTTTGAAAAATTCAAAAGTTAAGGAAATATGTTTCAAATATAATTCATAATAATGTTTATTGGTTTATATTAACAATGTTTTTCCTAATATAGTGCCTTTATCTGTACAGGTATCATTCTGGATAGAACAATATACAAGTTTAAAATATATTTCTCTTTAAAGTTGCCTCCAAGTTTTTTATTTCTTTGTTAGCTTTTGGTTTTGTTTCTAGTGTATTGTTCTTGTTTATCTTCATAGTTCTTTTTAGTGTACATCTTAAAGTTTTGTTTCATCATTTAAAAAATTAAAATCATAGTGTATCGTGAGGCCTCTGCATTGCCCATATGGATTGATTGTGTTGACCCAGCAGGCTCATTTTTTTTTTATCCCATCTTACCTGCAGTGTTTCAGCTTTGTTTATATATTCATTTTTCTCCTTCTATTGGATGAGCTCTGTGCTGGTCAAATGCAATACAACCTGTACTTGTTCTTGTGCTGTGTCACATTTCCAGTGACCTTTATAGATGAACAAAATCTTGAAATTATCATGTTATGGCTAATGCTAAGTAAACTTAAGGCTTATGCTCTCCCTCCATTTTTCACTGTTTTGTGGAGAGGTTCGAGTGGTGATCCCCAAATGTGGCTTGTTCCTTATGAGTAGGGAACTTGTTGGCGAATGGTCAGAACAGCACTGGATCATAAAGAGAAATCTTGGATGGTAGGGAAAGAAAACACTGGCTTCTAACTCCCATAAACTTGATATAGTATACTTGCAGCTAGCTAAGAAATTATTTGTTTAAAAGTTTCCCACAGCACAAAAGCAAGTTGAATGATAATCGTACTTCTATGCATTTCTGTATTATAGTTTCCAGCATTCAGACACAGCAGATAGTATTAAAGGAATACACCATGTAGGCTTCGCCCTTCTGTCCTCTCTTACTTCTTTTACAGGTGTAGTTAAGGTGGAAGTGGCATCTTTTCTTAACCTGGCGACCCGAGACAGATACGACTTAGACACTCATTATTCCTAGGTTGTGCTGCCTTGAAATGTATACAGTTGTGCTGCAAAAAGAGAAGATGTATAAATGCTAATTCATAAGCTCAAGCTGTTTTCTAAAAAATCACCAAAGATTTGGATGAGGATGCTGGTTTTTTGTTTTTGTTTTTTAGGAATTTTTAGTTCCAATCATTTAGACTTTTTGGAAAAACAAAAGGGGGAATAGTAGTACTAATTAGGTTGTAAACCAGTGATCCTACTTTTTGGAACAAGATAGGAGGGGGTGGGAGGCTCTCTCTTGGTTACTGCCTTTTCTGTATCTAGTAATGCCATCCAGGCTTTTTCTTCTACTGTACAATGCTTTCAGAAGTTTAACATCTAGCATGTCAAAGCTTACTGTTGCCATTTTACTTTGTAGAATTAGTGTAACGCTTGACTGGAAGAAATAGAGACATATTGGAAGTCTTTTTCAGACAAAAGAAGAGGTCTGATTTCATTCATTCATTCACTCACTTGCTCACTTTATATGACTGCCTATTTGCAAGCAACTGTTTGACTCTATTCAAAGATGTTGCCAAGTTTTCTAAGAACATAGACACAGTCTTTATACAATTACAGTTACCTGTTTGTACAGTCTGTTGTGATTGATTTTGTCCTATTGATTCTAGAGTGCACACTGTTAATACTAAGTATGTTGCTTGGTGTAACTTGTGTATTAACAAGATTCCCAACCCATGTCTTTTTTTTTTAAATTAAATTCCTTTGTAGAAACAGTACAGTGAAAATGAAATATGGATTGAAAGAGAAAGAGAGCCGATGGTTCCTTCAAAATCTTTATTTTTTAACCATAAGAACAAAAACTCATTGCTGCTTCTGTCTCTGTTGAGCTTCACATAAAAACAGGTTTGTTAAGCTTCAACAGAGATTTGTCCTGCTTTAATTTAAGAACATGGGGAGGATCATGCTAGATTAGACCAAAGCCCTGTGTAACCCATCATTCTGTTTTCAACCTAGGGAGCCAAATCTCTATGAAGAACCCATATGAAAAAACAAACTAGCACTGGCAAATTTAATTTTCAGCACAGCATTCCAGATAAGCTGAAAATTAGGGTGTTTTCTGGACAATTTTTTTTTTTCAGAATGCTATAGTTTTCAGGTTATTATCTGTTAGAAGGAGATTAGCAAAAATAGCATCTAAGTCTGGATAATTTACATCTGTATGTCATGCAGGCTGAGAGAGTTTGTGTCCTTTCCTTTCCTGGATAAATTGTGTGAACTCTTTTGTGGACATAATTGTGATTCCTTGATTGGCAGTTTCTAAACTTATATGATTAAAATTTGAATTCTTATTCTCCTTCTCTGTTGTTGTTGAGGCAGAAGCCAAATGTCAATTTCTGTGAGATATGTGAATTTTCTAATTAATTTTCTAATGACTGTGAGGCACATTAATATGCCAATAATCCAGAATTGGCTTCATTATAGTTTGCATTTCATTTCAGACAGTTTTGTTTATTGATTGGACAGATTCTTGCAGTAGTTAGCAGTGCCAAATATTTGTAGGCAGAAGACTCTGTTGATGACTCTATGAGTCTCTGAGAAACACTGTGTGACTATTAATTTTCGTTATAGGGACAAAATACAGTAAAACTAACATTAAAAATTAACTCTCCCCAGAGGAGACATATCATGAAAGTAAACCTTATAGCATGGCCATTGACAATGCAGAAGAGCATACACTGAATTATCTGTAAAAGATCAGTACAGATAAATACAGGAAAAAAATTGTGTCTAGAACTTGCTTTCTTATAACAGGGTTCTAGAGGGGAAGACTTATTTACATCTATAATAAAACACAGTTCATCCTTTGGAACTCTGTCAGCATGAACTACTTGTGATTTGATTCTTATGCTGTTCCTTTTGATGTGAATTCCAATCACTAGTCGTGATCTTAGTGACTTGTAGCTATCCACCTCTCTCTTACAGAATCTTTTGAAGATTCAGATGTGCGATAGAATTCATGTTTTAAAATATATTGAAGTGTTAGTCAATTTACTCAAGATGACTTTCCATTCCTTATCTATTTCATAAATGAGTTTTCCAGCTGTTCTTTTCTTTTCTTTTCCATCAACCAGTACAGTGAAAAACTTGAATGAAAGCATTATTTTTTGAGGCTTAGTTGTGGCAGATTGTTAACTTTGCATCAAAATATTTAATTGATTAACATCTCAGATTTTCTTTTATTATTGAGTAAATTTATTATTGTAGTCAGACTGCCACATCAATTTGAGGGAAGGTGGTAATGATACTTCAGAAAGTTGGATGCTGCTGTAACTGAAGTAATCTGTAGAAATAGGAAAATAGACTGTGACAGAAATGCAAAACCATCAACTTAATTAGTGAGAGAGTTCCTTGGCTGCCCTTTTGTGAAGTTTCTGTTGCATGATTGTATTTTGGCAGCCTATTGTGTTCGTTCTTTTTGATTTGAATTACCTTCATGAATATTTGGAATGCGTTACTTGGAATGTTTGCTTTTTTCCAAACAGATCTATTGAAGTGAAAGAGAGGGAAAAATTGGTCTTTTTTTTTTTTTAATGCCCATAGTTTCCTCCCACTTGAGCTTGAGTTTGAACTGTGGAAAGGTGCATTGTAGCAGCTTTTGCTGAGTTTGCCTGGTTTACCACCTCTGCTTTTCCTATTTCATATTTTTAAACCTGTTATTTACAGCATCATTCCATTCATTTCTGCAGGCCTGGAGTGATTACAATGCAGGCACTTTCTGAAGAAGATCGAAGGCTGTGGATGGAAGCAATGGATGGCCGGGAACCGGTAAGCAAAAATCTTTATAAATAGGTATTAAGTAGTATAATCAAAAGAACCTTTCCATGGTTTGGGTTGCAATTCTTTCTCATTGGATGTCCTATGATAGCTCTGTAGTTTTGCAGAAGAATCCTTTGCATCCTTTGGTAGAATCCTTGAGGCAATTTTCCATTTTCTTTGAAGATAGCATGAAAGCTTCCCTTATGAATACTGTTAAGAAATTTCAGAATATAGCTCAGAGTAGTTCAGATATTTGCCATACATTTAGTGTAAGAATATGGGAGAGAAAACCTGACATAATTATTAGACAAATAAAATATATTTATTCTTGAAGCCTCTAAATGGCCACAGTAGGAATTAATGTCCTTGAAGCTTCATAATATCTTTAGGGCCATAGGTCACCCACTTGTTCACATTTCTGAAGTCTATTTCTGTTATTTTTTTCTCAAGAAAAAATCTCTTATGCTGCTTATTTGAGTAGAACTCTTAGGGTCTATTTCTACAAATTGACTTTGAGTTCTTGCACATAATTTATTTTGATAACTGGCAGTGTCTGTGATGTGTTGGGATACATTTGGGGATGTGATGAGAAGGCCCTGATAGGTTTTTACTTTTGGGGGTTCTCTCCAGAATAACAACAACAATAAAACAAAATACTCAGAGTCAGTCAAGAAAAATGGCCACAAGATGTTTGAACAAAGTTTCTGAAGAGGGAATCTGTCACTCAACAAAGAATAGCAGCTAGTAGCATTGAACCATGAAGGAAAGTGAGAGGATAGGCAGAGAAGATTCCAAGCCCCCGGCATAGACCACAACATGTATATACAATTTGTATATATGTACAAATGTGTGTGGTTTGTGCCAAGTGTTTAGGAATCATCCCTCCCTCTGCCCTTACTCCCACTTTTCCATGGTTGACTCTGCTAAAGAGCAACTAAGCAGCCATAAATCACTGTTAATTGCCTGTTCAATGCTGTGAGGCATTTGTGAACCCGAAGGAATGTCATCAAGTGTTAACTCTGTGAGATGCCTTCCCCTCCAGAACCAGAAAACCACCAAATAGGCAAAGGTAGCTTATATAGAACTCTCAGCCCATATAGAGTGGATGTAGTTGGATGAAGATGTAGTTGGTAGAAGAGAGGGCAGGGGGAAGAAGGAGCCCTTTCACAACTGATGTTATAACCCATGAGGTTTCAGATTGGATGCTACATTGTTGTCATATTGCTCTTTTTTATACAGCTCTAATACATCTACTGCTAGATGTATAATAAAGTAGAAGAAGCCACAAACATATGAATGCCTGTTGGAGATGCATAATTCAGCATATGTAGTTGTTAGTGAGAACTCCCAATCTGAGCAGCTGGCAATCTGCTTCAAAAACGTTCAGCAGCACTGCAGATGAAAAACCAGCAGTGTGGTGGGAAGCAATTCACGCTTTTAATATTTAAAGGTCTAGAGTGATTTACTAAGGAAAATCAAACCTTTCTCGGCACGATGCTAGCCTATGTGCTAACTGTGCAAAAAGTGTAATCATTTAAATGTAGTGCATATTTATTAATTTATATAGAAAGAGAGAAAAGGAAAAAAAATTCTCTCCCCCATCTTTTGTGCCCAATAAATTAACTAGGAATAGAAAATGCATTTAAATCAAGTGATTGCTTTGAAACAGGTCAAGGAATGCTGTGCTTCTTCAATCAAGTGAATCTATGCCAGATGATTTTATTGTTATATTGAGAATATAAAAGTTTATTCTTTTAATGTAAAGTAGCGTATAAACAGGTCTGGGTAAATACATTGCTATCTAAGGTAGATCAACAAATGGTACTTTCGCAAATTGAGATATACCTTATAAATGTTTTCCCTCCTTTCAGTAAAAGTAGAAAATTAATACTGGGTACAACAAGTGACTTTCAATTGCCAAAGACATCATCATCATCTCTGCCTTGTGGTAGGTCGGCACTCTGCAAATTACAAATCCTTCTGAAAACTAAAGAGGTTGATGGGGAGGAGGGCCATCAAAAACATTAAGTTCTGCTAAGAAAGAAAATAATGAAGACGAGAATAAGCTATCTCCTCAGTCATTCAGTGGCTGACTTGTCTTAAACATCTGGTACCAATTGCACCTTGGAATCCTGATGCTGGCTTGGCCTGAATGTTTACTTCGTAACAGTGTGTAGCCACTATATTCTTGTCTACAGTGTTAACTTTGGATGCATTGATTGTTTATTGTTTTGTATGTAGTTAGCTCTCTATTTACTAAACATTCATATGGCTGCTTTTCATTTTCTTTGAACATTTAGGAAATTGCTTCAGTTATCTGAAGTGTATGTATCAGATTTAAAGATCTCCTAAGGATAGAAACACTGAAAATTAGCAAAGGCATTATTTTTCTTTAAGGTTCTTGAATGCTGAGGTCCTTACTTAGCTTTATTTTTTTTTTTGCACTATATCAGCGTGCACAATCTTTTTCAGGCTCTCAGGAGGGGTGTACTTGGAGCTAGGCAAGGAAGCCAAGAAAAAGAACTAAATTTATTTTTAATTTAAAATACAATTACAATTAATTAAAACCCACCATTATTTAGTGCTTGTCTCTTCTCTCTCACTGAAAATTATAGTTTAATGGCAACTTTTTGGAGCAATTCTGGAGGTCAGATCCAAATTTGGCAGGGTGGGGTTTTTTCTATTTTACCTTGGATTCTCATGTCTGTACTCATTTATACAGAATGAGTTGGTTGAAATAATGTGTTGCTTACTTAAATTATACTCTCAGTTAAATAAAAAAGATTTCAAATTGGCAGTCAGAGCACAACAAGCTGCAGTTACTTGTATATGACTTATACATTACTGTGCAAAAGTTTTAGGCAGGTGTGAAAAAATGCTGTAAAGTAAGAATGCTTTCAAAAATATATATTGTAAT